AACCAGTTTTGTTTCATCACTTGGTGCAATATGCCTCCACCTGTTATCACTAATAGGTTGAGATGGAGAGGCTTTATTATCATTACCTACAAGGCTGCGACACTGCCCTGATGTTGGTTCATCTCTCCACCTGTTGGCTGGTCAACATTGGAATCCTCATTAGAACTGTGATCTCCATGTCTGAAGATTTGATATGGGAGTAGTTTTAAGAGGAAGATTGGAGTTGTATTCTGCATGTAGCCAATCTCTGGGGACGTCGATGATTCTATCATTAAGAAAAGCTTGCAATTCTTTATTTGAAACACCAATGGGCTTGAGCTTGCACCGATGCCAAGAGTGACCCACTAGTCTACAAAAATTACAGAATCATGTGACTCCTTCATACTAGTATCGGATTCGGAGCCAAAACTGTTCGAGTGGTATCCGAACTGGCTGAGGATGCCCTGTTTGGACCACGTCAGCATTGTCATCTGAAACCGCATGATGGAAGAGCACAAGCAGGAGGAGTCTTTCACATGGACAAGGAAGCAAATTCCACCGAGGAAAGAAGAACCTTTCGAAGACCTCAACGGATAACCTCATCCCAACAATCCTGGCAGCCTAGCTAATCTAACCAGGACATGGATATTTGGCTTTAAATAGGCATTCCCAACTCGAGGTAAAGGACTTTTGACTTTCAACTTACTCAACACACTTTCCTGTCACCTCTTCAATTCGAACCAACATTATTCCATTCTGCTCGTCTCGACCGATCCCGTTCTCTTATTGACTTAAACGTTGGAGTGTCTACTCGGGGAATAACTCCTCGGGCCTCTAACACCTTCTGTGGTTATAAATTTTTTTGGTGTATGGCTCGGTCCTTCCACCTCAGCCCCGTCTAGTTGACAAGACTATTTGACAACGTCTTTAGTTTGGGCCACCTTGGATCAGAACATATTTCCCTTTGTCATCATTAGTGTCTAAGAAGAATGTGTTACAGAGAGAACATATCGGAGAACAATGCATGTTTGAACATACTTCCCTTTTGTCGTCCTTCTCGATAGTTTTTTTCTTCTTTTGTAGTATAACTTCACATGCCACTTCCACATCATACATTTCACAATGGTCATTTTCCACATTTGGCTACAGGAGGTGATTGATAGATGTGAAGCCAAATTGTTTGATGCCAAGCTTTCTTATTGTATGAATGCTTTTCGTATGGACCACCATTGAGGATTTTCTTTATAAAGTCTTGGTTCTTGAATTCAGATTCCTAGTTAATTAGTAATTACCTCCTTCAGCTAGCTGGTTGCACTACAATCTTTTTAGTTATTTGACTATAGACATTCTTAATACAATTTTCCACATTTTCCGGTATAGCTTTGGATGTGTGGAAATATTCATGCACAAACCATTTTTTGCCACTTCGATCATTGAAGCTCTAGGCTTTAGTTTCACCATGAAATGCAGACCACAAATGCTAAGATACTCTGACATTTTGTCGGAGATGTAGTTATCGTGCAATGTTGAGGTTAACAATTTTGAACACTCTTAGGGAGGAATTTTTGCTTTAGCAAAGTTGAGGTTAACAATTTTGAACAACATACTCCAATTTTGGGATAAGATGGGCTCCCCAGATGTTCCCAATGCACGGGTGAGGAGGTGTTTGCGTTATTTTGTATGGGGAGATGTTCCCAATGCAAGCAAGAGTGGGATGGGTTGTGGCGTGCTCTATAGGGAGCTCATCTCAACTCTCCAATTCCCAGAGCTAAATAGTACTATACAATTTCGAAGACTTGGGTTTGCAAGTCTCAATACCCATAAACTTGATATTTGCGATACTCTGTTGGAGCATCGTGACAATATACATCAATGTTTTCAACCTGTCATTGACCTTGCCGGTCAAACTATTTGAATTGTCACCTGGCCAGAATTTTGGGTTCGGTTCAATTAAGACCCATCAAATGGTCAAAAACCGTTGATTTGGTCAAGAACTGTTCGACCCAGCCGGTCAAGAACTTTGCATTCCGATGTTTAATTGGGGTGACTTTTTTTATTTTAGGTAACTTTTTCAAGACCTATGTATCTGTAGGTGCCTTGCCCTGCTATTTTTCATGAAAAAACCCCTTTTTTGACCTCAAATTGCAATTTTTAATATTTTACAAATAAAAATGTAACAACTAAATTAAAAAAAACACATATTAAATATAAAATATCTAAAACATATTTATACATTATTTATTGCTAATATATATATATATATATATATATATATATATATCACATACTATTTTGTAGCCCATTTGCCCATAAATAAATTAAGGCTATGTTTGGTTTGAAAGAAAAAGTAGGGAAATATAGGGAAACCTTTACAAACCTTGCATAGGTTTCCTTATGTTTCCCTTCCTTTCCCTACCTTTTCCTTCAAACCAAACATAGCCTAAAGGAAGGGAAAAGGAAACAAAAATTCTTGAGAATCTAAGGCCATGTGTTTGGTTTGTTGCCATGGGCTTTTTTCTTTACCGGTGGATGGCCGATGGTAAATTGTTTGTCGGACATTACTATTATGAAAACTTATGCCAATGGACATCAATCGCTGGCAACCTGACGATAAAAATCTATATCAGTGGTTTTTGAGACTAGGTCAGTTGTCATAAAACGCTAGAATAGAGTTTCTTGGAAGAATGAAAACGAGCAATATGAGGCATGATTATATGATTTTTACTATATTTGATAAATTTCTTGATATATTATCTTTATTGAATATATTATTATCAATTTGAAAAAATTGTTGGACATTTTGTACTTTTTCATGTTATAAATTTTATTTTTAATTTTATAATTTTTAAATTCTATTCAGAAGTTCCAAGCTCTTTTCTTCATTTGCAAGCTGCCAAATCAATTCAGCAAACTAATTTCCTTTTAATTAGTTTAAAATGGGTGCTAATTGCTTCTTTAAGCTTTTTTTTTTTTATATTTTCTTTATGCAATCAAATGCAAAAACTTTTCTATTTTCTCGTCTTTTTCTCTTTTTTATATTTTGCATTGTTGATGTGGGGCCCAAATGGTTGTTTTGTGTTTTGTTTATGCAGATCTTGCAGCTTCCACTTAGGGGGTGCAAATGGATTAGATGATGATCTGATCCGATATATTATATAAATAATATATATATATATATATATATATATATATATATATAATACACATATATGTTATTTATTTATTTATAAATATATTTTTATAAATTTATTATATTATTTATTTTTTTATAAAAAACATGTATATATATATATATATGACGAAAGTAATTAAAAAATACTTGTATTTTTTGTTTTTACTTTATTTAAATTAGTATATTTTAATTTTCATTTAATAATTTATTAATTTTTAAAGAAACAAGTCGGATCGGATCAAATTTGAAGATTTGACTTATTGATAGGATTTGAATTCAAATCGAGTCCTATTAGATCCGATCGGATCAGATTTGGCATGAACAATGTTAGATCAGATTCAAATGTACCCTGATTCGAAGTTGATCCAATCCGTTTGCATCCCTATTTCCACTATATATCTACTCATGAGTGTTGTGTGTGTGTGTCTATATATATAATTTTGGTTGATGAGAAAAGAAGAATAAAAATTAAATTTGTAATCAAACACGTCCAAAATTTGTTCTCATTCTTGCCACAAGAATACTTTTGAAAAAGTGTTTGGTTCATAGTAATATTTTCTCGTTCAGCCCATTTTTGTTCATTCTAGAATCTTATTATTAGAAAGAATGAACAAGGGCAAGAATTGAACTAAACATGGCAATCTCTCTCTCTCTCTCTCTCCCTCTCTCTCTCTTAAATTCGAACCAAATATGTATGTATATATGTATCTTTATAAAAATAAAGGCCCGTTCGCTTTTCGGTAAGCTACTTACCCAGGTAAATGTAGTTACCTGGGTAAGTTTTTCCTGAGAAACACCTACTCGGTTAAGTGCATTTACCCATATTCTTTTATTTCTCATGTAAATAAGGCAATGACCATTTTATCCATAAAAATATATCATTAAAAGGGACATTTTTGTCCTATTCAAGTGTTGGCAACTTTCCCCCTAGGTGGGAAAGTTATTTACCCATATGATACCTAGAAAAATAAACTTTTCATTCCCACATAAATCTGAAAAAAAAATATAGAATTATTGGTCAATGGAAACCAAAATTAAGAGTAATATATAGAAGGGCATAATAGCCAACCCAACTTCAGCTATTGCTCCCAAACATTCACTAAAATATAGCATAACAACTCATTCAGTTCAACTACCTCAGCTCTAGTCAAACAGGCCTTAATAATAATACTAGGTGAAGTAGGAAGGCATGAACAGTCGGGTTCGGGTCGAGTCATGGACGCTGCGGCTTTGTTGGGAAATTCCGGTCATGGAGTTTTATTTTATTTTATTTTTGATGGGTAAGTTGAATATAAGGATGAAACCGAAATAAAATAGTTCGTATGATGTGCAAATCCAAGCTCAGACCTGAGATCTCACCCCCGGGTCCAGTCAAGAATTTTTTTTTTCCGGCTTTGGAGTGGGTCCCATATACAATATTCCGGATGTGTGGTATTCGATGGATAGCATGGTTTGTACGGTAGACGTATCTGGCCGCTGTAAAGATACCCGGCCCGAATCCCGTGACTCGTGGTATTGGTCCACGTCATTGACCGAAAGTATTTATAATTAATTTCGTGTGGTCTAGGGAGAAGAAAAAGTGGGGCCACACCTATGATCATATGCCACGTGTTCATGACAGCTGGAGAGGCTGCGTCACATTTTCATCCATATCCTTTCTGTCCTGACGTCAGTGCATACACGTCAGTTCATGCAGAAATGGAGAAATGCTAGCGCTACGGTCACCTTCTCACCGTAACTTCAAACAACCAATGCGTTAGACGGTTAGAGACTGTACAAAATACAGTGTGCTCAAATCACTGTAACAGACTAACAGCTTTGTGAAGCTTGCCGTGGTGCTAGCGTTCCTCGTCAAGATCAGAGATAGGGACAGAGACAGAGAGGAAAAAGGATTTGCAGAAACTGGGTTTTGGGGAGTTTGGTTATGGTTAGAGACTTTAGAGTTCAGCTTTGAAAAATGACTTAACATCTTCTCTCCTTGTAGGCATAACAGTCCAAGCTTCAAACCTGTACGCGACGATTGGGAGAACCAAATAAACAAGAAAGAAGGTCTACCTCTACTTGATCTCCCCAAACCGCGTCTAAAGATTTCGAAGGGACATAAATAATAATTAATGAATCAACGCAGGTGATGGTTATCCATCAATGTGTATAAAAACTACAGCACCTCTTCCGGAGAAAGTTTTTTGTTTTTCAAACCTGCAAATATTTTTTATTTTTCACCTCAACAGGGTTTACCTTGTACGTCTTCTTTTCCTTTACTTTTATTTTCCACCTGGGTCTGCTTTATTTATTTATTAGTTTAATTTTTGGGAGGGTTGAGCTTGGTCTATTTTTCTGTTCAGTTGATACTCTTTTCGGTTCTCAACCCAGTTGGTTCTATTATTTTTTCTCTTCTGTTCATACTTTTCTTTATTCATCTGCCATCTGGCTTTCGCCCTTTTGATTCTTTCGCTATTTATATGTTCTGGGTTTTAATTTTTTTCCTAATTTCCCTGGTTTTAAATTCTTCTTTTTCTATCTTGGTTTCCTTCGTATCTCTTCGCCTCTCTGTTTCATATCCAATTTGCTTACCTTCGCTTCTGCGTCCTGTTCCCTTCATGCTAGGTTCTTTGGCCTTCCAATCTGGGCTATTTCTTGTGATTTCCTTTCTGGGTTTTCTTGTCTTTGGATGATCGGCTGATACCAATAGGAATTCAACTGCGGGGAGGCTTTTGCTGTGTGTTTTTCGAGGATGAGTTAAGAGATCAGAGACGACCAGCTCGAGTGCTTAGAATTAAGAGCGCTTAAATTTGAATTTACACTGAATTTTGAACCATGAAGTGTTTATTCTACTTCAAGGATAAATCAAAATCCAGGCAACAGAACTCGGCTCCAGAGTTGAAAAATAGAAGCCCGCCGGATAATTCGCCGAGGGCAGTCAAATCTTCAGGTTCAGAAGCTTCCCAGCGGAGCATACCGGAGTTGTACGAAGAGAAGGCGCATAATTTGCGGGTCTTTTCGTTCTCGGAGCTGAGGAACGCCACCAATGATTTCAACAGGATGCTTAAGATTGGGGAAGGTGGGTTCGGGAGTGTCTATAAAGGATTTATCAAGCCCCCTAATGGTCAGGGAGAAAAAACAGTGGTTGCCGTGAAAAAGCTCAACAGGGATGGCTTGCAGGTGAAGTCATCTTTTCTTTGTTTGCTTCTGCCATTTTATAATGAAAATTGGAACTTTTCCTTCAAGTAATTTTTTTGAGGTTAGATAGGGTCTTTCACATTAGGTTTGTTTTTCTTCTGAAAAGAAAAAGAGTAAATTGTGCTGAAGTGTTTGATGATCATAACTATGAGATTATTATCTTCAGATTTTGTTCTTATGGTTTCCCTTTTTTCTTTAAGAATCTCCAGAGCTTCTTTATGCGATCCTTTGACACTTCGATAGACACAGATGCAGTTAAAAGTTGTAAAAGTCTGTAATGCATAACAAACTGTCTTGCACAGTTGCACCTAAAAGGGGACAATCAGAACTTTTGGATTCTATGATCTTTCGTTTTCCTATTCCCGTTTCTTTTTTTTTTCTCCATCCCAGTAAAATTCTGTCACTGCTCCGCAACATGTTTTATTATCAGAGCTCAATGTAAATTTTCTTGCTGAACTTGAACCAATGCGTCTCTGTTGACGGAAACAGGGCCAAGTTTGAGAAGGCATGTCCTTGCATCGCACAAGACTATAAAAGTTACAAATTGTAAGTCTTAATTTCTCTCCACAGTGGTAGTATCGAAGTCAATAAGATTTGGGTATTTGAAACTTCAACCAATGCCACTTTTTCTGCGTTTTGAGACTGATCATAGATCTACATCTGCACCCACTTATCCTGTAACACAACTACTACTTCTTAGGGGCTTGATGGTTTCCAAATTTAGTGTACTTTCCAATTTACTTTTTTATTTGTTTGAAGATTATTATGTTCTTGAAGTGGTCTAGAGATAAAGGTAGATATTTGGCTGCAAATGGATCTGATTTAATTTGATTCAAATTTAAATGCGATTCATTTAAATCAGATTTGGATATCCATTTATCCATAACTGGATCACATCGGATTTGAAAATATGATGGGTTTTGGAATTTAGATAAATGTATTTTTTTTTCTGTTTACAGTGTATATACAATCTATTTTGTAGATTTATGCTGCTTTTATACATATTTACTGAGCTTCAAATTGAATTGGATATCCAGATATGTTAATGAACCAGATTTGAATCCATGTTTTACATATTCGTCAGATATCTATAGTCTGAATTTGATCCAATCTGTTTGCAGCCTTAAGGCAGATAAGTGCTAGAGTAGGTCAAGGTCAGCGCTATGGTAGGCAATATACCATGTACCTTGCTTTTGGTAGTGGTGATTGGTGAATGCACCTTAGCTGTATCTACTTCCACTTCCCAGATGTTCATGTTGCACCCTTGGTGTCAATGCCTTTGGGTTACAGCAGCCCAGGTGCACATGGCACTGGCAGTGGTAACTGCACCTCAGCAACCTCAGGACCATTGTAACAGCTCTTCATAATTTCTCATTTTTTGTGGCATCATGGAATATTTGCACTTAGAATTCTCTGGTGTCTGTTTAAAGGGTGACTAATTGAGTTTAATAATCAATAAACTTAACAATTTATATAGGAGTCCTCATAATACATGTTTCCCTCATAATTGTGTGGGTCGAAGTTACCTCTTTATAGCCTTTCACTATACATGAGCTATACATGTCTATTTGCATACTTTCAGTACTTAGATATATACATTAAGGTCTCCCTCTGTATCAGCATGAGACAAACCCAATGAACAAATCAGTATAAGCCCAGCAAATACTTTATCAACCTTTTCTTCTATGTGCCTTGATCTTCATATAGATTCTTCTATTTTTTTTAGTAACCACTGGCCAACTTAGGGTACCAATGGAGAAAAGTTGATAATAGATTTCACCTGAGTTTAATATTAGTAAATAAAACCATAGATGCTTATCCCACTTTTAAGTTTTACCTCTTTATTTCTTTGGTGAAACCTTTTCATTAATCATATTATATTTGCATCTTGTGTATTGTTCTTTATTACTATTCTCCATAGTACCAAAATGGTTCTATCCAAAGTTATCTAGTCAATATCAAGTATTTGTTTATGTTTTTTTATCCATTTCCTTTGGAGTGGTGGCACTGAAGTTTCTAAACTGCAAGGATAGCAAACTTTGCAACTTAATTACTTAAGTTTATTCAAATAATGTTCTACAATTTCAAATGCTTGGACCTTTGTCAAAATTCATGGTTGTATGTACCATCCATGGACTTGGGTGTAAGTATGCATCTAGGAACTGGATTCATCTGATCTCAGAACAGTGAGATATAGGGAGTTGGCTAAAATTAATCTACCAACTACTACTAATGTATGGATACATCATTCATTGGAGGATAAATATTAATTTCCAATCATGCAAGTGACCTCTGTTTAATTTGGACACAGCATACACTCTAATCCTGTTCCCATGCTGTGTTGTGTATAAGATGGATACTTGTGGTAAAATGAAGAATCTGGGTATCATAGATGCCATATTATATATTTAGTTCCATGAGGCATTGAGACTTGACTAGCTCTGGAAATATCATGGTTCAGCAATTACCAAATAAATTTACAAATCGATGTAACTTCAGTGTTTAATCTTTTGGCTAGTACCCTTTATGGTAATAATTTCTGGTTTCTTCTTGTTTGACCATAAATCATTGTGGTACATGGGTTCTGTCTATTTGTCTCTTCCAGAAATATATTAGTTTCTTATTAAGTTTTTCTCTGCTTTCAGGGTCACAAACAATGGGTGGCGGAAGTTCAATTTCTAGGTGTTGTAGATCACCCAAATCTTGTAAAACTCATAGGATACTGTGCTGTAGATGGTGAAAGAGGGATCCAACGACTACTGGTGTATGAGTTTATGCCAAATAAAAGCTTAGAAGATCATCTTTTCAGCAAGGCTTTTCCTTCTCTTCCTTGGAAAAGGAGGTTAGAAATAGTCCTTGGAGCAGCTGAAGGATTGGCCTATCTGCATGAAGGATTGGAAATCCAGGTTCCACTCATAAATTGCTTTTAGTGAATCCATGTAGGCACCATGGGAGTTTTATACTGATTATTTCTAGACTTGATAAAGTTTCATCATGCAAGAACATATACAAAATTTGACTTAAAGTAGCTTTCTTCCAGCAGCAAGAGAGGGAAAACTATGGTCTTATTCTCGATTTTTTTTTCCTTTTCTTGGGGTGGGGGTGGTGGTTGCTTAATCCATAAATAATTGACCTCAACTAGTCATTGGACACTTCTAAACATTTGATGAATTGGTCTTCTTTTGCTTTCATAGTGCAGTCAAATTCAATTCTCTATTAGCTGGCAATTGGAATCTTTAGAAAGATAAATTTTGCTTTTCAGACTTAAAGCACATTCCATTTTTTGGATGGGCTTGTCCCACCTTGAATTTAAACCATCATATCCATGTTGATTTGATACTTACATGCATCAAGCCTTCAAAGGTTGTGAAGTAAGGACTGAAATGTTAAAAGAGTTAAAACATTATTGATACAATAGGAGACCATGAAGATGATATGACTAGAACATAACCATATCCAAACATGTAGAAAATTATCAGTCTATTGGATAACTTTGGATGAAGATAATTTAAACCAAAGTACTAACCATGGAGTTTTCACTAATTTGGAAGGTGATATATCGAGATTTTAAATCATCAAATGTGCTTTTGGATGAGAACTTCAAGCCAAAGCTATCAGACTTTGGGCTTGCAAGGGAGGGACCGGCAGATGGGCACACTCATGTCTCTACAGCGGTATGTAACTATGTATACGGCATGCTTGTCAATTCATGGTGATATTCGTGGGTTGCATATTGGGTAAACTTTCTCCTAATATAGCAGAAAGTATGCATGTAGCCTAGCATCATAATAGGACATGATGGCAATCTTTTGAATTGAGTCCAGATCTGCTGACTACAAGAGCCTACAGCCGCACATTGGGCTTTTCTACATGTTGTTATTTTCATTTGGAGATGTTCCTGATGTGCAGCTGTAGTGTCTTGTGGCCAGCATTTTCTGGACAGTAGATCTGAACTCCATGCCCAAAGTCGAAGCATCATTGTCAAATCATCTACATTTCCATTATCTTTTAGATGTTACGATGTTGTAACTAATGTTCTTGAATGTCCATTGATGGAACGCCTGTTTTTTTTTTTTTTTTTTGAATCACATTACTTAGCATGATCATACTTTTTTTTTCCCATGCCCATGAGAACTCTTCTTGGTAATCAGGTGGTGGGGACATACGGGTATGCAGCTCCAGACTATGTTGAGACTGGACATCTCACAACTAAGAGTGATGTATGGAGTTTTGGAGTAGTGCTATATGAGATCCTCACTGGTAGGCGATCATTGGAGAGAAACCGCCCAAGAATGGAGCAAAAGCTTCTAGAATGGGTGAGACAGTTCCCTGTCGACAGTAGAAAGTTCTGCATGATAATGGACCCACGACTGCAAAACCAGTATTCTCTTAATGCAGCAAGGAGAATTGCCAAATTGGCAGATAGTTGCCTGTGTAAGAATCCAAAAGACCGTCCAAAGATGAGTCGAGTGGTAGAGAGCTTGAAGGAAGCCATCCAAGTTTGTGAAGAGGGAAGTCCTTCTGAGAAGAGGACCCCTGATTACCCTGGTACTAACTCGGTTGACTCTGATAAGAATCCGGATCAGATTGGCACCACTGAATCTGCAAGGAGGCGGATGGCCCACCTGGCAAGTCTAAGCGAGAATGTAAATGTAGTTGGTAGAAGACGATTTATGAACATGCAGAGGACCAAAGTGCCATAGTTTTTTTCTGACAAGCTACCTTTTTGATTCTTCAGCAGGTCTAAGCATTGCTTGTACCAGAAGATTAATCAAGTGGGTCCTTTATTTCTTTATTCAGGTATGCACATCAAATCCGTCCAAATGTGCAAGAACTTGCAGATTTAACATGGCCTGCTGTATAGTTGATCAAGACTCTGTTCTTTCTGTTCTTGTAAGATTCAGCGGAGGAAAGTAGCTAGCAAAAAAGAGGAGGATACAAACTACAGCAACCCTGCTGAATCGATTCAGAGTTGTTCTATGGTTGTCACTATAGGCTGTTTAAATGCCCTTTCTTATAGGTCAGGGTGCAGTGCAACATTTGTTTTTCCTGGGTGAGCAACATGCAATGTAACATGGTCATACAGTTTCTTTTGTCAAGCGTGTACACAGTATCAATTTAATTATATTTGTGAGTAAATAATGTCATAATTGATAGGACGGTGGAGAGAAAAAAATTCATTTTCCCTTACTGTGCATGTTATTCAATGCTTTTCTGTCACAAGAACTAGAAACACAAACTGACCAACATTCTTCCAGGCCATACTGTTGGTTATCCTTCTGTGGTGCTGGTGCAGATATTAATTCTTGGTCATATGAATTCTTGTTGAATATCAGAAACGTAGAAAATGGTCCATCATGAATTTTGATTTCAAGAGAAATGCCTCACAATTGGTTTGAAAAAAAAAGCATTGTTTTTTAACATGTATAAAGGGGAACAGAAGAATATAGGGATTCCAATTGAGCTCCAAACCAGCTTGCCATCAAGAAGATACTCGGGTCATTTAGACAAGCTCAACCCAAGTACCAATTCCACTCCTTATGTGGAGGAAGGTTTTCTAACTGGGTCAGGCTCAAGAAGCTAGTGAGTTTCCTTACATGAATCTACCTACTTATACCATGTGAAGGGATGTCTATTATCAGAATCTATTTTACCAAAGGCCACCAAAGTATAATGGAGAGAGGAGTTGTAACTAAATGCACTGGATTAGTCGGTTAGGTGGTATTTATGTTTTGTTCTGTTTTGATATAAGGTCTCCATGACTATGGCTGAACAAGGAATGCTAATCATACTCTTGCCACTTTGTGTCCATGAAAAGTGTTGTAATTACCAAAACGCCCCATGTCAAGAGACAAACACTCTTGATGCATAACATGGGTAAGAGTCGATCTGGAATCGTACTCTTGATTTGAGGAGAGTTTCTAAATTTTAGCCCAGGACAGGCATACATGTATAGGTACATGCATACATACATACAACTCCATCCAATTCAATTACTTCTTTGCATTTTGGATCTGCATAATGGTTTTGTTGCACCCTAAAAATAGGTCCAAATGCGTCTCTATTGACAATTGACAAGATGCAAATGGAGTGATTTGAATCCAGTCACCCAGCACCCAAGTCTTAAATGCAATCTTAAATCACTATGCCATCTTCCATTCTATGAGAATAAATGAAATAAGATAATTTTATTAGCTTTATATTTACATGCAATCCAAACAAATAACATATGTTTATGTTCAACAACTTCAACTAAAGATTAAAAATAATAATATTCCAAATTAGTATTTTATAAACTAATGGAATCGATAATCTATCAAATTCATATTTATATAAGAATGATTTTTAATCTCAAGAAAATTATATAAATAAAAATATTAAAAATAAAATAATTATTTTAGTACTTAAAATTTATAAGTTTACACATGATGTGTATCCTATCTTTTTTATAAATTATTACTTAATAATTTAATTTTCACTAAATAACAACATATTATTATTTACAAAAAATAAAATATTTTTTACAAAATATTCAAGAATATAATATAAATTGAATTGATCAAATCCAATAATCTACATTTGTATAGAAAAAATGATGTTTTACTTCAAAAAATTATAAAACAAAAATATTAATAATGGAATAATTATTGTAGTAATTAAAAATTATTAATTTGCATATGATATGCATCTTATAAATTTTAATGGATTTGATACTTTTTATAGATCATTAATTGATATTTTAATTTACATTTTATAATAAAATATTTATTATTTATAAAAATAAAAATATTGTTTAGCAAACATTTGAGAGTTAAGTTTAGTTGATATTTTTAATGTTATAAATTAAAAATAGTAAAATAGAAAATAATATAATAATTCAAATATAACAATTGTATATGTTTTGTGCCTTGGACTTTAATAGAAAAATAGAAAATAACATAATTATGGTTTTGCTCATGTATTAATTTGTAAAAAAAACTTTATGTGTTTTGGACTCTTGATTTCTGCATTATCAGTAAAATTATATGATATCTATGCATCCCCTATATTAATATTCATATATATATATATATATATATATATATATATATTAAAATACGTATTTACACATAACTTGTGGCTATTTTGACCTTAAATTTAGTGTTATTAATATCTATATAGAATTTGTATGCATTTGTCTAGCATACTTAAGTATCTTCATATATTTTTCATTTGTGTCTATGTATTTTCGAAGTGTATCCGTATCTGAGTTGTCCGATACAATACATAATACCGATACTTTGATCTTTGGTTGTAGTGTTTTGTGGGTATGTGTGGGTAGCTATTATACAGGGTTTGTAGTTTGTCTTCTATTGAGAATTGATATATGGCAAAATCTATGGTGCATGAACTACATGTTAAGTAAAAAAAAAAAATTGATGGTAAGTACACTTGAACTACATGCAAAGCAGAAAACGTCAACTAGTGATAAAATGATACATCACAACTAACATATTTGATGTTATTAAAGTCTTGACAGTAAGTACACCTGAACTAATGAAAAATAAGCAGATCATGTAATGTCTTTAGTGTGATTGGTTTAAATCTTGATTTAAAGGGCAATAATAATATCATAAATGAACCTTAGTTGGACTCCCCAATGTATAAGATCTATTTGAAAAAAAAGTGATAGTGTACTTGAGAGATAGTGACGCTTAACCCCTTGAACTTCATGGAATATTTCTTTAAACTTTTCCAAAATTCCAAATTACACTTATGTTATTTTATGAGAACATTTTGCACTTTTAACTGTATTTTTCTAAACTAACATGTTTCTTTCAATTTTCTCTCAACAAGATTCATCTTGAGAACATGAGAATGATGGTTCATCAACACCTTGAGAACGATTTGTGCTTTAGGTTGATTATTTTCATTATTTTGATATTTGTATCTTAAATGGGAAGTTTAGGAATTTTATTTATACCATTAACCCCATTAGTAGGTCAAAGGGAAAAGTGTTGGAATAAAAGAAGTTTAGGGGGAACTTAGTGCTGGAATCTAAGGTGTTTGGTACTGGAATCATTTCTTCCACGTCAATGCCATTAGGCATTTTGCTCTTTCCCTTTCTCTTATTTGGTTGAGTGTTTTCAACTTGTGTGAGAGCAACTTTTGGAGAAAATGCCATTGTGACATTTTCTTGCAATAGAAACAATGTTTTCTCCTTATTGCCTATATGGCAGACACTAAATAACAATATAAAATATGCACAAAACTTGAAATTACTTTATTGAATTCCAAGATGTGATTGTTGCATGAGAAAATGACAATGATACCAAACATCCCCTAAGAAGTTTGGGAAGCTAAGGTTTACCACTCCTAAGTATTTGGTGGTTATGTATAATTTATTTATAAAAGTTACGGCTTGTTTGGTTTGTGGTTAGGATTGGAATTGGAATTGGAATCCTTTAGTAGGGGTGAGCAAAAAAAAAAAAAAACCAGAAAACCGAACCAAAAAATCGGTTAACCAAACTGGTCAATTCGGTTTAGTTCGATGTTTAAACCGGTGGTTAACCGAACCGACTGATATATACACAATAATATATATTTATATAATATTATATATATTATATTAATATTATATATTATTTTTTATTGTTTTTTGAAAATCTAATAAATTCTGAACACAAACATTTCAGTTCGGCAGTCTAGGCTCTAGAGTGTTCGCCAATCTGCCGAACTAAGACTTTTCAGTTTGCCAGTCTGCCAGACTGCGAACAGCCAGACTTTTCAGCCTAAAAGTAAAACATTTGCTTTTCCCTTTCTCTTTCTTTCCCTCTCTCTCTCAAATTCTCACTCTCTTAGACTCTCAGACTCCCACTCTCCCAGCCAGTTTTCTTCTTCGTTCTTCCCCAACAAACCAACAGGCGACGGCCTTCAGCGCTCCTAAAATGAACTGCAATAGCTTCATAGACGGCCTTCGGCGCTCCCAAAAATCAATAGACCAACGGGCGATGGCCTTCGGTGCTCCCAACTGCAATAGCTTCAATGGACCAACGGGCGATGGCCTTCGACGCTCACAAAAATCAATTTTCTTCTTCATTCTTCCCCAATCTCTGAGCTCTCTCTCGTCTCTGAGCTCTCTGTGTTTCTCCCACTCTCTCAAACTCCCGCTCTCCCTATCTCCATTCCCCCCCCTTTTTTAATTTTGAGGGCATAAAAAAACCAAAAAACCGAACTGCATTGCATCGGTTCGGTTTTAGTTCAGTTGAATGTATAAACCGAACAAGTCGGTTTGGCCCAGAAAATTGCCCCACGGTTCGGTGAGCACCCCTATCCTTTAGAATCAGAATCAAAATCACTTGTTCCCAATGCCTGTTTGGTTCAAAAAGGAATTGATGTCGGATTCCAATCGATGTTGGTGCTTCATTTGGAGTCAAAATCAACCAAAAATTTTCAATTTTTATTAGTTTATTGATGTTTTATTATTACATTATTATTTTTGTTTTTATTATTATTATTATTTTATTTTATTAGTACTTTATGATTGTTTTATTGGTATTTAATAAATCAATATCTTAGTATTTTATTATTAAATTATGAATATTTTGTTAAAGTACTCTAATTTTATTATTATTTTAATGATATTTTATTATTATTGTTTAGGAAAGTGTTTTTGTTAGGAGTTATTAGGGATGGCAATTTTCCCCATCCCTATTGGGTACCTAGCCTCCTCAACCCCATTAGGTCAGGGATGGAGATTGCCCTGGTGGGGGCGGGGATGAGGATGGGAAGTGAAGTCCCTACCCTACCCCAACCTCGATTATAATATATATATATATATATATATATATTAAATTTATATTATTATATATGATATTATTATTTAAGATATAATTTATATTTTAAAAAATTCTTTATTTTAAGTAAATCTATTTTCCAAAAAGTACTTTTAATGAAAAAATTTTGGGGATTTGGGTCCCCAAGGAGAACCCGCCTTCGTTGGGGTTTGGGGGATGGGGATGGAGGATAACTTTTATCCCCGGTGGCCGGTGGGGATTAAGGTTAGGGATGAGGATTTGTCTTAAAGTCGGGATCGGGGATTCTTTATTTCTTGAGAGATTTTGGATTGGGAATCCCATTCCTAATGGAGGAGCTGGGAATTAGGGTTGTCAGTGGGTTAGGTTTAAGTATTTAACTAGAATCAACC